CTTCTGTAAATCGAGTAATATGTTAATAAAAATATCATGTAACATGTGTTTTGAATTCGTCTCGATGTCCTCTAAAGCTACGAATAAAAAAATGTATGTTCCTATTTAAAAAACCCAAGTGACCTTGACTTTGCCGAGAGAACAAACTGTTTTCAAAATTTGCTTTACTAATATTTATTGTGTTCTTCATACCCTGCAAATATTGTTCTAAACTTTTTTTCGTAAGGTGGCTGCAAGTGGGAGAAAAATCTTGAGTAGCGTTACAGATAACACCCTGTATAAACATAGTGAAACAAATAATAATAAGTTTTAAAGTTGCTATATGCAAACAGTCAAATTACCTTCGACTGCAAAGGATTAAAACTCACCAATAACCTTCATAAATTTCTATTTCCTCCGTACCAAATGCCATCTTTTCAACATCAGACCTTTTCAAATAACAAAAGCACTTCATACTCCAACAAAAATAAGAATTAAGAAATTCTGACAGTCAACGTGTCAATGAGTCGATTCTTAGAAGAACATCGAAACACACAACCCAGATTTTGTTTCCACAAGTTGAAATCCAAGAAGAGACGCCTTGCCATTGAGTAATTTACGTACCTCATTAGGCCGTGACTGCGTCCGGACTGAAAAGCTCTCTTTCAGAGCTTTCTGGGTGATCCTTGGTCGCGAAGAAGGAACGAAAGAAAAGTACAGGATGGTCGCGACGTTTTATTCACGAACGAGGAAGGAAAAGAAGCATTCTAATACATCGGATATTCCTTCAGCAGCCACGTCCATTTTCGTCTTACGATCAGGGCCGCGTTTATCGCCAGACGAAATACCGAGGGTCTGCATACAGATCTGACATCACTATTTTTTACTAAATTTTTGTTATAATGTATTATCAAATTATGTACTCATCGTTTAATTTATGTATTTTGTATTCAATATTCGATTTATATTGAAAATTTTTATATTCAAAATTCATTTTTTTGTATTCTATATTCAATACATGCACTTAATATTCAAAATTCAATTTATATACTCAATATTTAAGGTTCTTAGATTTTTTAGATTTTTAGGATTTAAAAAGTTCCTAAACGCGGCCCTGGTTTCAATGTCAAGGCGTTGACGATGAATAAACTATAAGATACAGAGTAGAAGTTTTTGAGAAGTTATTAATACGTATGAATGATATATAAAACAAAATTTTTTAATATTATTTTGTGAAAATTATATGAGATTGTAGGACTGTAAAACAGCGATTAAAATAATGTGAAAAATTATTTTTATACATTAAGATACGTATTAATAAATTCTGAAGGGGTCTGTTACTCTAGAGTCTTATAGTTTATTTTTTTTATGAAATTATAAAGAAGCTGGTTTTTCAAGAACGTTTAAGCGAAATGATTTGCATTTCATCTTACAGAGCTCCAAGCAGGTTCTAGTGATTTCCTATTTTTAATTTTAGGGGAAAGTCGGGCGAATTTGTAAAATTTATGAACTCTAGAATTCGTGAATTTCAAAATTCATAAACGTGGAAAATAGAAGACTTGAAAAGTAAAAAGTCTCCAAAGTAAATTTCTGAAATTCTGAATTTCAAAATTTCAAAATTTGAAACTGATTAAACTTCTAAATACGAACATTTACAAATACCGAAATTTTTAAATTTAATATAAGTCTATACTAAAATATTGTAAAATTGACTATTCATGAAAGAGGGCCATACAGCGAAACTATAAAACTTAAAAACCAGAATACCTAATTTTACCGTGTCATCTTAATCATTAAATTTGTCAATGCATTTGAAAGTTTATGTTTCCATTTTCTTTTGACCAAGAATCTCAAACATAAATTTTCTCAATGTATTATAAAATATTACTCAATTTAAATTATTATCAAAAAATTAAGAAAAATGAAACATTAGATCTCACCAGACTTTAATTACCAGATTCACCAGGAAGAGTTTATTCTCTCAACGAATTCATATTTGATGAATTATATGTAACAAATGCAAACATTGTAAGATTTAACTCCCCATTGTAAAGAATGACTTTACACATTCACACCAGATTATAATGTTAGATTACGATTGCAGAAAGCAAAGAGAAAACAGAACAAAGATCGATGCAATCCCATAGATATCTTCCTGTACAATGGTATAAGAACTTATTGTCGGATTTGCGATGATCTACGCCATTCTTCT